ATACACAGTTTCAAGTGTTGATATGATAGAGCCCAATAGGCTCAGGAATCTGTACACCTGTTGATTGACGGTTGAGAGGCGGGACCAAAGAGCCAGAGCTCAACCCCCGCAAACACAACTAGGTGAGGACAACTAGGTGAGTACACACACTAGAAGAAAATGGGGACATTGAAACAGTTGATAAACTAAATTTCAAGAGAGGACATTATGGGGAACAGAAAGTTCTTGAATTGGATAGACTTGTTGCTAGGCAAGGAAGTAAATGAGATGTAGGCCAAAATTTGTGAAATATACGATGAAGGCACACCAACATTCATACGAAAACTGAGTTGCAGGACCAGGAAACACGATTGGTTCAACAGAAATTGTGAAAAGGCCAGAGGAGTAAAAGAAAAGAAAATGGGTTCAATATAGGAAGAGTCCTAACCCACAAACATACAAGCACTACAAGCAATCAAGAAACAATTACAGGTCAGTGAGGAGAGAGGTAGAAAGGAACTTTGAGAAAGGTATTGCGGACAAATGTAAAACAGATCCAGGCCTTTTCTGTAAATTCATTTAAAACAAGCTGTATGTAAAGGATAAAATCCAGCGATTGAGAACAGGGAACAAGACTACTATGAATGAAAAAGAAATGTGTAAAACGCTAAATGAACAGTTCCAAAGTGTGTTTGTATAAAATGAGGCTTTGAGAGAGCCGGAGCCAATACCAATTCCGGAGCACACCATAGAATTCATAGAGGTATCTCAAGACGAAGTGGACAAATTGCGAAACTTTTTACGAGAGGAAAAAATTGCGGGACGAAACAATTACGAGACGAACAAAGAACGAGACCTAGGGGTGGTCTTGGATAGTAAACTGTCGCCAGAGTAACACATAAACAACACTGTGAGAGGAGCGTATGTCGCTTTCCAACTTCAAACATGCTTTTAATTGTATGATGGTGAAATACTAAAGAAACTGTTCCAGACTTTTGTGAGACCAAAATTGGAATATGTAGCAGCTGAAAGGTGCCTATATCTCAAAAAGCACATAAGAAAGCGGGGAAAAGGTGCAGTGGCATGCTACAAAATGACTTCCGGAACTGAGAAACAAAGAGTTACGAGGAGAGAGAGATAGAGGCGTTAAACATGCCAAAACTATTTCAATTAATTATCAGGGGGAAAGCGTCAAGCCAGTAAAAGAAGATATGAGAACAAGAGGTGATATTTACAAACTACTAACAGGAATCGACCAAACTGACAAAGAGGAATTCCTGAAACCAGCAACTTCACGATAAAGAGGATACAGATTCAAGTTAAGGAAATAAAGATGCCGACAAAAACATTAGAAAGATTTCTTTTGCAAACAGAATGGTAGACGGTTGGAACAAGTTAAGTGAGAAGGTAGCGGAGGCCAAAACCGTCAGTAGTTTCAAAGCGTTATACGACAAAGAGTACTGGGAAGACGGGACACCACGAGTGTAGTTCTCATCCATTAACTACAATTTGGTAATTACACACACTCACACCATCGTTGGCTCAAGAGATGTGTGAACTGAGATCCAGAGCGGAATGTAAACCTTGCAACGAGTCAACTTCCGCTCTTCCTCTATTCATCTTTGCAATCCACCTCTATCTCTCTTCCTCTTTCTCTTTCCGACTGATCACAATGGAAGACGGATGGCCCTGGTCGGACAAAGGGTATTCGACCCGGAGAAAATGTAATATCCGGATTTCTTCGGATTTCAAAAGATGCCATTATGATTGCTCTGGCCCAGATTCAGCGGCGCATAGGAGCGCATAGTTGCAGCTGCAATGCATGCGAACGTACACTGACAGCAGCGATGCATAGGATGGCAGCTGTGGTATATATGAGTGCAGATATGGCAGGAGAGGTGACATGGAGTGCATAGTGGCAGCACTGCTGAGTGCATATGAGTGCATAGCTGTGCTGCGTGGTGACACATAAAGGCAGGAGCGGTGCATAGATTACATCATAGTGCAGCGTTGATGCATAGGAATGTATAGTGATAACTTCATTGCATAGTTGCAGCTGCGGTGTATTAGAATGTATAGTGGTAGCTACGGTGTATTAGAATGTATAGTGGTAGCTATGGTGTATTAAAATGTATAGTGGTGGCTACGGTGTATATGAATGTATAGTGGTAGCTATGGTGTATTAGAATGTATAATGGCAGCTGCAGTGTATTCGAATGAGTAATGGCAGCTACGGTGTATTAGAACGTATAATGACAGCTACGGTGTATTAGAATGTATAAAAAGAGCTACGGTGTAGTAGAATGTATAATGGCAGCTATGGTGTATTAGAATGTATAATGGCAGCTGCAGTGTATTAGAATGTATAATGGCAGCTGCAGTGTATTCGAATGTATAATGGCAGCTACAGTGTATTAGAATGTATAATGGCATCTGCAGTGTATTCGAATGTATAATGGCAGCTATGGTGTATTAGATTGTATAATGGCAGCTGCAGTGTATTAGAGAGAATAATGTTAGCTATGGTGTATTATAATATATAATGGCAGCTGAAGTGTATTCGAATGTATAATGACAGCTGCAGTGTTTTCGCATGTATATTGGCAGCTACGGTGTATTAGAATGAATAATGGCAGCTACAGTTCTGGGAAAATCGGGTTCTAGTTTAATACTAATAAATATATAATTCTATGAATGCAAAATAATAATTAATTCTAAGAAAGCTCGAAGGACCGGAATGCGATGTAAAATGAGAGAACCAATGGCTTATAGATCTCTATGATTAAATGCAAGAAATTCTATTATTCTATTCTTATACAATGAACTGTAAATATCTATACATTCTAAAACCTCTTCCCATGAAACATTTTGGGGATGGTCTTCTATGAGGTTAGTCTACATAATGCATAATGTGTATAATAAATTGTAGACATGGTAATGATAATAATATGCACACACATAGATTATAATGATTAGTATAATGTAATGCGAAAATACTTCAGCATATTAACGATTAAATAATGTGTATCATCAATGAGCAATAATGTGAATGTGTTGTCTCTCACAACTGAGAGGAACTATCTACTATGAAAACTAATTAAATCTCAGCTGTGACAGAGGAACGTAGTTGGAGTCCAATGTCTAAAGCAGTCTGGAATCAGCCCTGAGATAGTGATCCTTGTAACACGTGAATATATGACAGTCACACGCCTCCTCAGTTGTGGTGCACATGATGCAATAATTAACTTCCATAATTTCCACTCCAAACTAGTATTTACACACATAAATGCAATATCTAAATGACTGGAAGGGTGAAAGTAGCACTTACATGGGGTTTATTTTTTGGCTTACAGCATCACGACATGGCACCTACAATAATTATTATTAGAGCTCAAAATAATAATATAAAGAGGTAAAAATTCCTGCCGAACTGGTGTCCGTGATTCTGGTGAGCTGCGTCCTCAATCTGAAACCCGATGATGAACAGATGCTTGCAGGATTGTGAGAATTATAAGGACCGCTTCAGAACACCCTGCTGACAAGGGATCTAATATGGCGAGACTGTACTCCTTCCCTCTTGGGGGACGCGCATGCGCGATAACTCCCAGTGGGGAGGGGGGGCCGAGCATAATTATTTTAATTAGTTAAAGTTAAATACGGAAGGAAGTGTTCATGATGACTGTTTATATCATAATTAAATACAATATGTGGTAATATTTGATTCTCGCAGTGCAGGTCAGTTAGTGAAGACTGAACAAATAAAACGAGAATCCTTTGGAAGTGGAAATTATTTTAGGTTATAATATTATTTACCCTAACTGCTATCTAACTTTGTAAAGGAATTCCAGTAAACTGTAGTATACTAAATAAAGAAAACCTATTAATAAATAATTATCCTTACTAAAGGTAAGTAAATGGTTGGACTCTGTTGGGTTACAGATATGTGGAAAATTACTCCCTGTGGGTGGCTGACGCAACACTGCCACACCTCTAAGAGAAATTACATGATGTTCCACATCCTATTGCAGTGAATTCTATATCACTAAACTACGGATTAGTAGTGTTAGTAAATTATGACACCTAGTACGGGAAATACATCCCATTGTACTAAGATTAGTAAATGAGTATTAAATGATCATGACGCCTACCTTACCTTGAGGTTACCTTGAGGTGCTTCCGGGGCTTAGCGTCCCCGCGGCCCGGTCGTCGACCAGGCCTCCTGGTTGCCGGACTGATCAACCAGGCTGTTGGACGCGGCTGCTAGCAGCCTGACGTACGAGTCACAGCCTGGTTGATCAGGTACGCCTAATGCAGGAATTACATCCTTAATACAATATTGTATTAAGGATGAGAATAATTGTTGGTTATTTCCAACAACAGTGTATTCGAATGTATAATGGCAGCTACGGTGTATTAGAATGTATAATGGCAGCTACGGTGTATTCGAAAGTATAATGGCAGCTACGGTGTATTAGAATGTATAATGGCAGCTACGGTGTATTAGAATGTATAATGGCAGCTACGGTGTATTAGAATGTATAGTGGCAACTTCAGTGTATTAGAATGTATTCATCTAGCTGTATTCACTTAGTTGTTCTTGCGGCGGGTTGAGCTCTGCTCTTTCGGCCCGGCTCTCAACTGCCAATGAATCAACCAACTATTACTAACTTCTAATTAATTTTAACACATACACACACACACACACACCCAGGAAGCAGCCCGTAGCATCTGTCTAACTCCCAGGTACCTATTTACTACTAGATAACACGGCCATCAGGGTGAAAGAAACTCTGCCCATTGTGTCTCGCCGGCCCCTGGAATCGAACCCCGAACCACAGGATTAAGTGCAAGCGTGCTGTCCTCTCAGCCACCATCCCCATATATGTATAATGTATAATAACAGCTGCATTGTATTAGAATGTATAATGGCAGCTGCGTTGCATACAGCTTAAGCACAAGGAACAGGATCTACAGCAACAAACACAGCAATTGAATAAAGAAACAAGTAAACAAGTACGCTGATGGCAGAATACAATGTGATAATTACAGCTAAAAGAGAAAGCGTTGCAAGAGACACCAAAGGTGCCATCACCATTGACAACATCAAAGGTCCCATCACAATTGACAACACCAAAGGTGCAATCACCAGTGACAACACCAAAGGTGCAATCACCAGTGACAACAACAAAGTTACCATCACCAGTGACATCAACAAAGGTGCCATCAACAGTGACAACACCAAAGGTGCAATCACCAGTGACAAAATCAAAGTTGGCATCACCAGTGACAACATAAAAGGTGCCATCACCAGTTACAACAACAAAGGTGCCACCACCAGTGGCGAAAACAAAGGGGCCACCACCAGTGACAACATCAAAGGTGCCATCACCAGTGACATCAAAGGTGCCATCACAAATGACAACATGAAAGGTGCCGTCACCAGTTACAACAACAATGGTGCCACCACCAGTGACGAAAACAAAGGTGCCACCAAGAGTAACAACATCAAAGGTGCCATTACTAGCGACAACATCAAAGGTGCCATTACTAGCGACAACATCAAAGGTGCCATCACCAGGTACAATATCAAAGGTGCCATCACCAGTGACAACACCAAAGGTGCCATCACCAGTGACAACAACAAAGGTGCCATCACCAGTGACAACATCAAAGGTGCCATCACCAGTGACAACAACAAAGGTGCCATCACCAGTGACAACAACAAAGGTGCCATCACCAGTGACAACAACAAAGGTGCCATCACCAGTGACAACATCAAAGGTGCCATCACTAGCGATAACACCAAAGGTGCCACTATCAGTTTCAACTTGAAAGGTGCCATCACTAGCGACATCAAAGGTGCCATGACCAGTTACAACATCAAAGGTGCCATCACTTGCGACAATATCAAAGGTTCCCTTACTAGCGACAACATCAAAGGTGCCATAACCAGTTACAACATCAAAGGTGGCATCACTAGCGACAATATCAATGGCGCCATCACCAGTGACAACAACAAAGGTGCCATCACCAGTGACAACAACAAATGTGCCATCACCAGTGACAACACCAAAGGTGCCATCAACAGTGACAATCACTGTTGTGATTGTCACTATTGATGACCCAACAACAAGGGTGCCTCCAGCAGTTACAACATCAAAAATACCATCACCAGTAACAACATCAAAGGAGCCATCACCAGTGATAATATCAAAGGTGCCATCTCTAGAGACAATATCAAAGGTACGATCACCAGTGACAACACCAAAGGTACCATCACCAGTTACAACATCAGAGGTGCCACATACTTTTTGTGAAAAAGTGGAAAACTAGGGAGAGAAAGTGTATTGAAATTAGATCCAATAACTAGTGTCCTTTGGATGTTCTTAATTATTAATATATTGAATATTAAAGGGACTGTATATTATGAGTCAAATTCACTCACCCAAAATGGGGAGTTACATGCTAAAAGATTAATACATCCCTGGCATTATTCTAGCGCTGGTCCTCGGTAGAGTAATTAATATATGAATCTATTTGTTAAGTAAATAATTGTAAATAAATGAATGTAAATTTACCTAATTACACCGTAAAATATGATATACATGCATAATAATGAATGGTACATGTATAGGCAACAAATCATATAGGTTATCTTCTTGAGGTTATCTTGAGATGATTTCGGGGTTTAGCATCTCCGCGGCCCGGTCCTCGACCAGGCTTCCTTTTTGTTACACACACTCCAAGGAAGCAGCCCGTATCAGCTGTCTAACTCCCGGGTACCTATTTACTGTTAGGTAACAACAGGGTGAAAGAAACATTTTGCCCATTTGTCCCCGCCTCCACCGGGGATCGAACCCGGAACCACAGGAATACGAATACGAAGTGCTGTCCACCCAGCTGTCAGGCGCCCATATATAATGAGCGCCTACATTAATAATAAATATATAATTAGGTATGATAATTAATAATATACTAAAGGGTTAATACTACAAAAAGTAGAATACAGCAAAGCTGCAAAACAGAGACAGAAGCACGCTTCAGTGTAGACACATCATGGGAGCTTGTAGCAACATGTGGCCACATCTCACATGTGGAGGCAAGGCTTATCTTCTTTCGTGTTGTCGACACAGACTGGAATCACGATAAATTTGTGGAAAATGGCCAACCTGATCATTAAGTTATATCTATCTCTGAATAACGGTGTAAATTTAGCTCACATCGAAACTTACGTTGTCTTTAGAGGAAGGCCAGCTGTATAATGAAGAGCAAGTTAAGAAGTTTATCATACTGAGATCTCTATATGAATAATCAGTGTTACTTAGCTAGATGGTGCTCGCCGAACGATCGTCTGAAAGTCGATGGAGGGTCTACGCTACCCAGACAATCGCTGATGCTATAATGTCCTCTGTATGGTCCGTAAAATACGTGCTCAGTTTTACCTTGATTGATGTGAGAGTTTTGAGAAGTTTGGAATAAAATGAAATTGGTATAAGGAATTGAGCTCGGAAAATTTCTAAGAATTTTCTTTATTCTGTAACCTATATTCCTGTCGTGATATTCAATTAGGTCGCCTGAGGAAGGACTTGCTTAGCTAACACACCAGTGTAGTAAGCAGCTCACTCCTCACTTTGGGACAATGTATGAACAATTGACTAGGCGCGAGCAAATGCCGAGACCCCAATGAAAATTGAAATCCCCCCCTCTTAGGTCGCTGACCTTCGCCATTCGCCGAAGCGAATCTAACGAGTAGGTCAAGGGCTCTCACAACAATAATTTATTGTTGTGTGGTGCCGTATATTTGGTCCAAAACTCAGAATCAGTCTCAATTTTATTAGTCGAGTGTGAAGAACACTTGCATAACAATAATAATGTGTGGGGTGTAACGAAAAGACAGTGTTAACCATAACAACTTAGTTTATTCAATAAAGTACTAACTACTACAACAAAACAAAAAGAAATGTCAATGACGTTACTCGAAATCCTTCCTGTGACACTATCAATGACAGCTAGACACCAGCCCCTCGGACTGCATAATGAACTAACTCGAACATAAGCGTGACCACAGAGGAATCAACAAGAAACAAGAACTAACAGATCTATAATCACAATTACAACAAATGACACAGTGGGTTCTGAAACACGTCTCCAGTAACCTCCTAACTGTTCTACGCCTCAGTGCAGTCTACACCTGCAATGGCGGTTGCATTGCAATCAAATCAGTAGTCTTTCAATGACAACAATAACTAATGGGTTCACTGGCAACTCCAGCAACCCTTCATCAAATTAATCCTTACGTTAACACTCCGTCCCACGGACGATCAACAATCAATAACAATTGATTTACGTTAATAACACAATAACATTTACGTTAAATTAATAACTCTTACAACTGTCACTAGTAACGCGGAAATTACACAACACTCTACCCGTCGAGCATTCAGTGAGAAAATCCCATTAATCCCTGTACTACCAGACAGCTGATTAATCTTTTTACTAGTTACGTTAATCGGTTACTAATCACTCAGCGATGGTAAACTCTGATTTACAATGTCCAAAGTGCTAAGAGTGCTAATAATCACTCGTGATAATCAATAATCACTCGTGAAGTGCTAATAATCACTCGTGATTACCTTTAGAGTAAATAATTACTATCCTCAAGATCAATAATTAAACAATTACAATACGCAACCTTTCACACTGGCTCAGCAATTTACATTAAGGTATGAATTCCGTCTGAGCCTTCCATACTCAGACCAATTCAGGTGGCTAATAACAGTAATTAGCCCCACGTTTACGTTATTCTAAAATGACGCTACTCCTCCCACGAGTCAATCACGTGCCGGTACTTCCGGTGCTACGTGACAATGTGACGGAACACTTGACCTCGAATTCAAGCTTTTAGAGACCAACTGATCACCAGAAATACACACATAGGTACTTACTCATTCATACTGCCGGCTTCCACACCATTCCCATACATCAGGCACCCCGCTATGGGTGGCTGGCTCGCTCACGGAGGTGGCCTAGGCGGCGGTAGTACCTCACGTGGTATTTTACGTACAATTGGTGCGCACTCGAACCTCTCCCACTCACAACACGGCTCGGTTCGCACCCTCGACCCACCGGTGAAGTGAAACGTTCATACCCAGGTGACGCGCACAACGATAGCGTCTTACACAAACATGGGAAATCTGCCTTAAACACAGACACAAATTTCCCCATTCCCATCGACTGCTACAGAGCACTAGCAAGTCTAATCATCACTGGTATGGGATCTACGAGTCTGTTACTGCTCGTATGCACATTACCCCACGATCCCAGATCACTGTACCTCTACCCACTGTACACATTGTCTTTCCCCAGCAAACACAAATCATCTAGAAAACGTTCGTCTATCTCTTCCCATAGGTGTGGGAATGATTTGCATTGAGAATGGTGCAGGAGAGCCTTTGAGAAACTTTTAATAAAAAAATCCAAACACAAAGGTTTTATATAAATTGTTTTTCTACAACTATTTTGTTCCTAATGTATTACAAATAGTTTTTACATGTTTAAATATAAAATTTATGGTGTCTTTTGTAAAATTCATTAATAAATTGTGAATGATATTTATTGGCTCAGTGAAACGTTCAAAATCCATTTAGTTATAATATATGATCAGAAAAAAGTAGTTTTCAAATTTTCTTATAATCGCTCTTTTTAACACAATTTGACTCCTTATGCATTCCACTAAACACTAATATCATGTTTAAATATAAAATTTATGTATTATTCCCTAAGATAATTTATATAAAATATAAAAGTTGCTGGAAAGTGGTGTGAAAGAATCTGAAAACGTTTTGTTGTCTTATATTGGCATGTTCTTATTAACTAGAGTGAGCGAGAGTGGGTAAGAGTAAGAGTGACTGAAGGTGAGTGAGAGTGCCAGAGAGTGTGTAAGTGTGAGTAAGAGTGAGTAAAAGTATGAGTGACTGAGAGTAAGAGTGAGTATGAGAGTAAGAGTGATTGAGAGTGAGAGTAAGAGTGATTGAGAATGAGAGTAAGAGTGATTGAGAGTAAGAGTGATTGAGAGTAAGAGTGATTGGGAGTAGGAGTGAGAGTGAGAGTAAGAGTGATTGAGAGTAAGAGTAAGAATGAGAGTAAGAGTGATTGAGAGTAAGAGTGATTGGGAGTAAGAGTGAGATTAAGAGTAATTGGGAGTATGAGTAAGAGTAAGAGTGATTGAGAGTAAGAGTGATTGGGAGTAAGAGTGAGAGTAAGAGTGATTGAGAGTAAAAGTGATTGAGAGTAAGAGTGACAGAGAGTAAGAGTGACAGAGTAAGAGTGACAGAGTAAGAGTGACAGAGTAAGAGTGACAGAGAGTAAGAGTGACAGAGAGTAAGAGTGACAGAGTAAGAGTGAGTATGAGAGTAAGAGTGAGTATGAGGGTAAGAGTGAGTATGAGAGTAAGAGTGAGTATGAGAGTAAGAGTGAGTATGAGAGTAAGAGTGGGTAAGAGTGAGTAAGGATGACTGAGAGTAAGAGTGAGTAATAGTGCATAAGAGTGATTGAGAGTAAGAGTGAGAGTGAGTTAAGAGTGTGAGGTGTGATAGGGGTAACTGGCCATGGAGGCAGGATGTGTGGTCACAGATAGGCCTAGGCCTAGGCCTCGTGATCTCTAATGTTCGTTTTTATATATATGTTGGATTTTTTGTCCTGTTTTCAAATTATAATTATTTAGCAGGAATGTAATAAGATATTGCACAGTATTAATGTGACAATAATATATGCATTATTTCCTTGATAATCAAACTTGTTGTTCAAAGATAATATACAATCTTTGAAGGAAACATTTTGAGAGCACGAGCTGCCAACACTGGGCTGGTGGTGAGAGAGACATATGGTTAGTTGTGCTCAGACCTTCAGTGGTGAAGGGTGTGTCCCAGCTGGCCGCCACCAGCCGCCACCCGCCGCCACCCACCGCCACCACCCACCACCACTCGCCGCCACCACCAGCCGCCACCGCCACTACCAGCCGCCACCCACCACCGCCGCCCGCCACCACCAGCCGCCACCACCACCACCCACCACCACCAGCCGCCACCCGCCACACCACAGCCGCCGCCACCACCACCCA